CTGGTTCTTCCCAGGACAGAGGTTTTTTTTGCGAACCAGTGGTAAATTAAAAAAGTGACCTTCAATAAGTATTTTTATAATCTACATTGAATAAAAAAGTTTCTATTTCTATTTCTAAGAGTTTTCGCAAGAGATAGAAGATCTCAAGGCAAAACAGAGCGTGAATACCAAGAGCAAGATAGTAAACTTACACCCTTAAAAGGGCGTTTTAAGAGTTGGTGGTAGACTGAGAAACGCGCAGATAAGCATGGAAATGAAGCACCCAATCATCATTCCACACGCTAACCATCTTACGGAGTTGATCATAGATGAAGCCCACAGTCTTACATTTCACGGGGGACCGTATTCGTCAGCAGTATTGGATAGTAGGGCAACAGGGCTACTAAGAAGCGCTTACGACAGTGTGTGAGATGCCGACGGTTTGGAACAAGCAAGCAACATCAACTCATGGGTGACCTACCTAGTGCCAGAAGTAACCCATCTCGCCCGTTTTCTCACACAGGATTGGATTATACCGGCTTCATCATGATCAAAGGCAGTAAAGGACGAGGCACCAAGTGCACCAAGGGATATGTAGCGGTGTTCGTGTGCATGGCAACCAAGGCCGTGCCCTTAGAACTAGTATCGGACCTAACGACGTCATCATTCTTAGCGGCTTTGAAAAGGATGGCTGCCAGACGGGGAACGCAAAGTCACATTTATAGTGACAATGACACCAACTTCGTCGGAGCAAGCAGAGTCCTAACACAAGAATACCAAGAAATTATATCGACCATCAACCAAGATAATCCAGAGTTAATGCAAGAGATCACAGAAATGCACATACAGTGGCATTTTAACGCTCCTTCCTGGCCCTCAGCAGGCGGGTTATGGGAAGCGACCGTTAAAAGTCTAAAATATCACCTGAAACGCGTCATTGGTGAACAGAGACTGACTTACGAAGAGTTCACCACCATACTGTACCAACTAGAAGGCTGCTTAAATACAAGACCATTGTGCGCCATGAATGAAGACCCAGACAACCTGGACTATTTGACGCCAGCACACTTCCTAGCAAGTGGACCTGTGTTGACGATATTTGATACAGAGCAAAATCTACGAACAAGATGGTACCTTTGTCAAAAAATGTATAACGACATATGGAAACGATGGCGTTTAGAGTACTTGACCCAACTAAATGTACGCAGTAAGTGGCAAAGGGAAAAAAAAAGAAAAAAAAATATCAAGATCAACGACGTCGTGCTCGTCCACGAAGACAACTTACCTCCAGGACGGTGGGCTATGGAGCGCGTCGTCGAACTTCATCCCGGTTCTGATGAGCAAGTGAGAGTGGTCACACTGAAAACCAAGAATGGCTACCTTAAAAGGCCGGTCGTGAAATTATCGCTACTACCTGTAAATCAAGAGTCAGATGGCAGCGATAATAACACAAACAAACCATCATCAATCAAGAACGATCAACAAACAAGAGCGCCTCAATCGGTTAAGAAACCTCAAGTTCATTTCTCGTCGCTTGCGTTGGCTATGCTATTTTTCATGAGCATACTTACCACATCATCATGTTCTTTTCTTAACAAACCTCTGAAGTCGAACCAAGGAATATATTTTGACAAAGTCTCTGACATGCAAGTAATTAGAGACGAATGGACCATGGTCGTCTATTATGACATGAGCCCCTACTGGCAAGGGATGAAGACCTTTGAACAATATTCCAATTACTTGGAATATCAAGTGAAAACATGCGATAAATTACAAGAAGCCCAATGTAACATTATACTGTGGCAACTACGTCATAGTTACTCCGAGTTCCAGCATTATAATACTATTTTGATGACACAACATTCCCGCACGCGCTCGCGCCGCCGCCGAGGACTGATAAACGGAGTCGGCAGTATCGCGAACTCATTATTTGGAATTTTAGACGAGAATTTTGCTCAAAAATACCAAAAAGACATAACGCTCATCCGTGATAATCAGCAGCATCTGGCAAACTTGTGGCGAAATCAAACCTCTATAGTCGAGGCGGAGTATAACTTACTTAAAAGGAGTGAAGAAGCTATGAACAGGCAGCATAAGTTAATAAACAAACAGATGCTAAATATAGAAAGGGCCGTGAACATATTAAACTCAGAGGTTGTCAATATGTCTGAAGTGAATCAATTAACTTTGGCAGCCGTAGCTGTAAGCAATATGATACAGGAACTACGAAGCGTGCAAGAATCATTGCTAGACACGATCACAGATATTTATCACGGGAGATGTAATTTCCATCTATTATCTCCAGAACATCTTAGAAATGAACTCGGTGTCATAGCAAGCCAAATATCGAAGGAGTTGGCCTTACCAATCGAAAACATACAAGCAAACCTTCAAAGTATTTATCAACTTTTAACAATAAAGGAAAGAATATGTGAAGATTACCTGCTGTTCGAGATAAAGGTTCCGCTCATCAGTAGAGATTCCTTCGAAATATTTCATCTTATTCCAGTACCGACCAAGATTAATAACAGCAAGATGGTTACCACGATACCAATATCGGAATACGTGGCCATTAACCTAGCAAAGGATGCGTACATTGTGATGGATATAGATGAAATTTCATCATGCAATCAGCAAGCTAACTCGTATTTATGTCACTTAAAGAAACCAGTTTACCATCTCTCACAAGACGAGAAATTCTGTGACTTCGATAATATTAAACAGCAGTGTAAAACTGTTGTAGACTCCTGCAATTACAAATGGACTGAATTAAACAATATAAACAAGTACTTATACTTTTGTTGTGAGAGGTGTCAGTTACGAGTGATGTGCGCGGATCAGGTGACCGCGCCACAGCTGGAGCGCGCCGGCATCGTCAGCATTTCACACGGGTGCATTGTCAAGTCCGACCTATTTACGGTGCACACTCGTAACCTTGACCGCAGCGTTATCAAGACGAGCCCAGACATCAAGGTTGAAGACTTCAGTCCGATAAACAATATCATCAACGCATCGATCCCGATGTCGTCTATAGTAGATGAAACCATAAATGACCGCTAAAAACAATTTTCGGATTTAGAAAAACAGCTAAAAGATTTGAAAGAGCAGGCGGTGTTGACAAGTGATGTATCATACCATGATGTGCAACATTATGCTCTCATCTACATTATGATCGGAGCAGCAATTATCGTGGGTGCTGGCCTGGCGTGGCGGCGAATGCGACAAACACGGTTAGCAAGAGCCAACTCTCCGGCAGTGCCCCCGGCGGAGGACCGCACCGCGGTTCGCCTCTCCTCCGTACGAATCAGCATTTGTGAAGAAGAAACGACCAATCGTAGTGATCCTGTTACCAATAAACTAGACAGTGTTCGAATTGTAAACAGGTCTACGTCGCCCATAGCAACTCATACATCTTTTTTCAAACATACATGATCAGCATCCCGCCCTCATCTGGCGGCCCGGAGCATGTACGGTGCAACACCGTGCATTCTCCCGCGTCAGCATTTTAGTAATTTGACACTATGCGCGACTGACCTCATTCATTAATATTTTATTTTTGAGTGTGTTTGTGTTTGCCTACCAATACGGTCGCGTGCCTCAATCTTATATTTTTACCAAGTTTTGTGTATTGTGAAATCGCAATAAATCATTGTTTTTCTCAAGATCGTGTTTAAATCATTCATCATCAGATCAAGTAAAAGGTGTGGTATACCAAGACCAAACACCGTCTAAGCCCGTGCAAGTGTTTGGATTAAGTTTATCTATAATTTTACCTACTTCCTCTTTCGTAGTTGGAGTTAGATAGAGCAGTTCGTACGTACTAGAATTTGCCGTTTGTGAGCTAGGCTGTGTAAGTGGTTTTTCCTTATGCATTTTAATTTTATTTGCTAAAATACAACCTATAGTAGCAAAGAAAGTATTGAGATAATTACATATTTCCTTAACATCTGTAATTGGACCCATTTGTGTATCTAGTTTTATAGGAGCAGAGCACGACTTTGTTTTGTTACCAGCTAAGTTACCGATCAACTTCCACATCTTTAAAGGTTTTCTTTCACAGTTTTTGAAGGCTTTGTAATAGTAGTTATTTTTAGTACTCTGAATTTGCTCAGACACGGTATTTCGTAGGGCAATAAAGTCTTTTCTTATTGATTCGTCGTTGGGATTTTTTTTGTAAGTGAACCACAGTTGATTTCTTTTGGTTATCATTTTAATTATGTCTTTATTAATCCAGTCTGATTTAAATGCATTTTGGATTTTGAATTTCGGTATTTTATGTTTATTTACTGCTTCTTTTATTATATGTTCTAGGCTATCGTAGTCACTATCGGATATATTCATTATTGTGCTTTCTACTTTAGAGTATTTAGTTGTGTAATCTAAGGTATGATTCTTTACTCTCTTTTCCGTTTTAGGTTTATAATCGCCAATTTCTAAATATATTTGTTTGTGGTCTGACATTGGCGATTCTACTATAGTTATATGGAATTTATGATTTTTCAAATTGGATGAGACATGGTCAAGAATTGATTTTTTTGTCGGTGTATCACGGGCACTAAATTTTGCATCAATTTTGTTTAGGATTGTGTGCCCATTTTCTAGCAGTATATATGTATAGTTATTAATTGATTGGTTAGGATTGAGCAGATCGTAATTAAAAGACATGCAAAGGCAAAGGCATGGTCTAAGACATTGGCCAGCCATAATGGGCGAAACGAAACAAAAAACAATAATCCATATCTTTATTTCTTTGTCAAAGATTTATTTAATGAACAACAAAAATTTATACTACTTTCTAATTAGAAAATGAGAGGGGAGGGGACAGCACGTACCAGATGTGATGTAGAATCTTAATGTAGTAGTAGTTAGTAACTACATGGTAAGGCGTCTGTGCATGTGTGTGTGTGTGTGTGTGTGTGTGTGTGTGTGTGTGTGTGTGTGTGTGTGTGTGTGCGTGCGCGTGCGCGTGCGCGTGTGCGTGTGTGTGTGTGTGTGTGTGTATGTGCGTGTGTGCGTCTCACCCGTATGCAGCGAGCATCCAGTTGAGTGCGTTGGCGAGGAGCAGTAGCGCAAGGCGTGCACTGTACAGCGGACGCGCACTACGCCGCATCTCGCGCGCAGCCTCCGCAACGCTCTCCTTCTCTGCACGCACCATTTATCACGTACGCAACTCGCAATTAACAACTCATAACTCACAACTAACCGACTAAGTTACAAGGATCTCAAATTAATGAACAAACGTACATTTTATGTGCCTCAAAGTATTGAGACAGAGAAGACGTTCGTAGAGTGTTGCCTATCCTTCTTTGTTGATCTTAGTATGATATTAATTCCAGCCGCAGTGCCGCCGAAATGTCGCGCTACGCACGCATAAAAACAGGGTTCACCTATTTTAGCAAGTAGAGAAAATGCCACGGTATTTAGAACCACGGACTGGTGCATACTTAATATCTATTCGTCAATGTTGTAAAAAAGGATAGAACAAACCAAATCAGAAGATGTCCAGGAGAATTTTTCTGAAATTCAAAATTCCGCTCAAGACTCCGGCTTCGCCGTCTCTGTTCTTTCTGACCGAAACGCCGCTGGAGTCCTCTTTGGCTGATGCTTCGTATCTCTCCTACCCGGGGTACAAACTGGAACACTCCTTTGTGCCTCGGGCTGGAGTTTGCGCATACGTCAGAGAGGACATCTGTTCTCGATGGCTCGGCAGTCTTGAAGGTTCGGACCTGTTCATCCTTTGGCTACGCGTAGACAACGACGACCATCCGCGCGTCTACGGGTGCGTCTTTGGGTCCCATAGCGGTAATGCCGAGACAGAAGGACTCTTCGACCACGTCCAAATGGCTACAGATTCGTTGCTACAGCAGATCCTCTCCGCAGAAATCGTGATCCTCGGCGATTTTAACGTCCACCACGCCGAATGGCTTGGTTCACGTTTAACAGATCATGCGAGGAGATCTGTTCATGATTTTACCTTGGCATATGGTCTGACACAACCAGTTACTTCGTCTACGCGGATTCCAGATGTGGAAGATCATGTACCTTCTCTGTTGGAACTTCTGCTGACCCCTCATCCGGAGAGATATCAGGTCTCCATCGAGGCCCAGTCGAGTGTGTTGTTTTGGAAGTGAATTGTCTTGTCCCGAGTGTAGTGGCACTCACGCTGAAATCGAGGTTGCATTTTGCAGGCTGCCGCCGTATTTGGCACTATAGGTCAGCCGATTGGGATAAGATGCGGTCTTTTTTTGCATCTTACCCTTGGGGGCGGGTTTGCTTCTCGCCAGACTACCCCAACATTTTTGCTGATTCTGTCTCTGTACTTGTGTGGTGGGGCATAGAACTTTTTATTCCTTCCTCTGTGATGCATATCGGAGGCAGCTCTAAGCCATAGTTTATTCGCTCCTGTAAAATAGCATCGTGCTATAAGCAGGAGTGCTACCGGGCCTGGGCTGACGCATCAACGTCGGAATGTAAACACCAACGCTCTAAAAAGGAAGTATGGTTCCGCCTCCAGGTCCTTCAAAAGAGTCATTGCCAAGGCAAAGTCAGAGCACATAGCCAGAATTGGCGAGAAACTAGTTCGCCTTCCTTCTGGAACCCGTGCATTCTGGTCTCTTACCAAGGCTGTCCAAGGGAATTTCTGTCAGCCATCTCTTTCATCTCTGGACAGGGAGAACGACTTACTGGCGCATATCAGAAAGAAGAAAGCCGATCTGCTAGGCTCTTTCTTTGCGTCCAACTCGACTCTCGATGACGGAGGGCACAAACCGCCGACCATCCTGCGGTGTGAGTGCTCCATGCCAGATGTGCAGTTTACACAGCGCTCGGTTCGCAAAGCACTCCTCTCCCTGGACATCCGCAAGTCAAGTGGGCCTGACGGAATCCCCTCAATTGTGCTGAGGACGTGTGCTCCAGAGTTGGCACCGGTTTTAATGCATCTTTTCCGGTACTCCTACTCCCTAGGCATAGTCCCAAAATCATGGAAGATGGCCTTCGTCCACCCGATCCCTAAAAAAGGCGATCGGTCAGATCCGTCAAGCTACAGGCCTATCGCCATCACCTCCTTGTTCTGCGAAATAATGGAGCCTATTATTAACTGCCAGCTCATGAGGTACTTTGAGGATCACCAACTGATTAGTGACCGCCAATACGGTTTTCGTCAGGGTCGATCAGCTGGTGATCTTCTGGTCTACCTGACTCATCGATGGGCGGAGGCAGTCGAGTCCAAGGGGGACATTGGGCGTTAGTTTGGACATTGCGAAGGCCTTCGATCGGGTTTGACACAAAGCGCTTCTTTCAAAGCTCCCTTCCTATGGGCTTCCCGAGAATTAGTGCAATTGGATCACCAGCTTTCTTGCAGATCAAACCATCATTACCATCAGTACCATCACCAATGATGTTTCTTCTGCATATCAATGATATGTTGCAAACCGGTAACATTCATAGCTATACGGATGACAGAACTAGTGATGCTCTGTACAGCGGCCGTGCTAATATTTCTCGGAAAAACGTCTCCGAGTACGGGGATAAACTTGTGTCTGAAGTCGAGTCTTTGCTGAATAAAGTCTCGGATTAGGTTCGACTAAATCTAGTCCAAATTAACCCTTACTAGACACAAGTGTGCGCGTTGATCGCTAAAAAAATCTCCTTGTCGTATCTCGTTAGTTTCAAGGCACTTCCCTTTTTACCTCAGTGAGAATCGGAATCCTCGGCGTCGACATATCGAGTGACGTGCAGTTTCGTGGTCACTTGGAAGAGAAGGCCAAATTGGCCTCTAAAAAGCTTGGCGTCTCAACAGGGCGGGACAGTATTTCATGCCGGTACACCACCTGCAACTTTACAAGGCGCAGGTTCGACCACACATGGAATAGTGTTCCTATTTTTGAGCTGGGGCTCCCCAGTGTCAGCTCCTTCCACTTAACCGCATCAAGCGCAGATCGGCTTGAATCGGCGACGGACCGAGTGCTTTTCGACCGGCTCGATTTACTGGCACTGCGAAGAGATGTTGCATCTCTTTGCATTTTCTTTCGCATCTACCATGGGGAGAGCTCTGAGGAATTGTTCAGATTAATCCCAGCCGCTAAATTTCATGAGCGCACTACGCGGGAAACCTCTCTATATCATCCACACCATCTGGATGGTCCCATTGGAATATAAGAGTGAGGGAATAGAGAGTGCACCTGGGCCTGCGCACACACTTTTGCACTATAATCATATCCTATGCAGATGGCTAGTCACTGCTGAGACCAGCCACCGTGACCGAAATTCGGTCTGGAAGACATAATGTCAGCCCAGCGCTCAACGTGACCGGCATTTGTCATAAAATAAACTCTATCCACTCTATCATAGCCCTTTTCCAAGTGTAGTAAAGCACAGAATTTTTTTTCGGGTTTTTGGCCCTTACCTTCTGATCATGCGCATAGAAAATACCTGAGCCGTAAACCTCATACCGTGTACCTTGTGGTGGCGGTGTAAGAATATCCATTGCCCCGTATCGTGAACGGGCAACAGAGGAAAACAAATCAAGAGATGAGCAGCAGCGACTTCCAAATTACGAAAAAAAAACTGCTATTGCCAAGGGTGGCAACTATCGCAATTATCTCCTCTATGATGCAATCTATGGCGGAGGCATACATTCAGCAGTGGACTTTAATAGGCTGTAAAGGTAAAAGGTTACGGTATATTACGCTGTTAATGGTAACAGTAGCCTGGAAAGCGTACCCAGTCGGAACTGTCCCACGTAGTAGATGCGCAGTGACAGCAGCAGGAAGGTGGCCACGTGCAGCGCGCTCCACACGCCCCACAGCAGCGGCCCGCCGCCACCCAGCACGCCCCATACCACTGCCACACCCCACCACATATAAGCAATATATACTACGCACTAGAACAGACACCGCAAACAAAATCTGTACGGTAGAGCACGCCGCGTGCATGGCGTTCGGCGCTTTTGCGCATCATACCTTTTTTACTATATAATTATTTTTACAATACAAGCATTACTATTTTTTTTAATCTGTTGAAGTTGACTATTAGACGGTGGCCCCTTCCATTACAGAGAAAACATTTCCAAATCATCAAACGTAGGCGAATTAATAATTTTACTTTAGAGGTTTTACGAGATAGACTTAGGTATATCGCCATTACTCTTAATTACTGTAATGACACCCACGAGAATAAATAGGATGGTAGATTCTTTTACGCCGTTACTACATATAAAAGCAAGGCTGTTAATTACTTAATATCGGTAGTACTAGAAGAATAAAATACACATAAAGTAAAAACGAAGTTCAAAAAATTAAAAGAGTTTTTTAAGTCGGTTTTTGCTATTTAATTAATAGTTTTAATTGATTCTATCGAGTAGGCTGAAGCAAAATTACTAGTTAATTTTTTTTTTGAAAAACGAGCATACCGTCCACCTGATGGTAAGTGGATGCTGTGGCCCATAGACAGCCACATTTATCCTCAACGATCAAAATGAAAATGCATTCTCACCCCTGAGGACTAAGATGGAATGCCTCGATTCCATTAAAAAGCATTCTCTTCACTCACCATACGAAACACAGCAGCATTGTTATTTTACGCTGGTATTCCGTGAGAACGTGGTCCTGCCCAGGTCGAGCCGACCCATTCGTGCTATAACTATAAAATAGTTCCAGCGTGGCTCTACCACATAAGTAAAAAGAGCAACTAGAATATTGCCAAACAATTACTTACTTTTAAAACTATTTATTCATTCACAGAAGTGAAATCTCTTCTTTAAAGTATAACCACCTTTGAAATATAATAATTAAAATGGGTTAATGATTGACAAATATCTATATCATCTATCTATACATATAATAAAACAGTAACGAAATAAAAACTGTACATTGAGTATTTCGAAAAAAAAATTAAGTGGCTTTTGTTAGAAAAACGTAACTGATGACAAAATGTAACTTTTTAAAATTTTTGTCTGTTTGTCTGTGTGTATGGTACGGCTTCACGCCAAAACTACTGAATAGATTGAATTGAAATTCAGCAAAAATGTTCTTTGTAAACCAAGGAAGGCTTTAGGCTACGTATTATCACGCCGTATGTTATGGGAGGTAAGCAGTATTGATTTTAAAAGGTTTTTCTTCGTAATTGAATGCATAAAATAATTGAATGCACAAAAAAGGACATGTTGTTAGTTATTATTAAAATAAAAATAAAAATTTAAATCTGGGAACATAATTATCACGCTATTTTTGTAAAGGAGCGGGGCAGTCATATTATAAATTGCAAGGGAACAGCTGTTTAACAGTATGTCAACGGGGAATTTACCGGTAAGGTCAGGCGACCGTTTACCGCATTAAATGGTGCGAGTTTAAATCCCATAATATTGTTTTTTAATTTTTGCATTTTTATGTGCATTAGGAAATCTGAGAACTTTATATGTCCTATCTAATTGTATGGGGAGTTTCACACCAATATTACTAAACAGATTGATTGGTGGTACAATAAGTTACACTATCATGAAGTCAAGTCAAACTTTTGGTTCTAATTTATATCTTAAGCACATTTGTTGTAGGTAATTGATTTAAGTATGTAATCCTTAGTTTTGTTCCTTGCTTCTGTTACCATATTTTTAATGCACAAATAATGTACTTGTCTGTTGAATTAACGACAATTTAGTTTTAATTCATTTGGGTATATGTTTAAATAAAAAATAAAAAATAGTTTCCGTTTTCTAACTAGATGGCGTTGGCGTCGAGTTAGATCGCGCTATAGTTTCGTTCCCAAAAAGTGATGTTATAGGTGCCGATGGGCCGCTCTCATCCCACAGAAAAGAGGAGGGGGTCACCTTTGTTGTCTGTGTTGGTTGATGTGTTTAATTTTCCTGCGAATAATTATTATTTTTCTACTTACTAGCAATTTTTACGTACATATTCGATTACTTTTCATTGTTTTGAATGTCGTTAGTAATGGATTAAGAAGGAATTTTAGCTATGCCTTTTAGAAAAAGTTCAAATCTGTCTCGAAACTCAAGGGTTTCTAAGGTGCGCAGGTTAGTTCGACCTCTCGAAACCGACGAAGAGCGTGAACAACGGCTAGGTGCTAACCGTGAGCGTAATGCACTATGTTTATTTAATTTTAATTTTAATTTGTTTAGTCAAGTTGGGATTTTTTTAAAGTTATTTGCAATTTTATTGTTAATTCAGTGTACCCTTGGGATCAATGAAATATACGGGATGAAAAGTTTTATGTTGTGTAGATGTTAAGTCTAGGCAACATATAGGCTATAATTTATTTTGGAAAATGGAACACCTGATGCAGAGCCGCAACAGACCAGCTAAATTATAAGAGATATAAAAATGATGCCATAGCAAAAAATATTCCACGTGAAGAATATTTTCTGCTGTGAGAATAAATTTGAAGATCTGGAACTCCAAAGCCCAGCGATATTATAACATATATAGGAACGACGTCTTAGCAAAAGTTGTTTCGTCTGATGGGCATTTCCTGTTGACTTACAAAAATTAAAGATCTGGAACGTCTCGAATCGTCTCGCGCATCACGTTGTTTTCCCGTCCCCGGGCTATTAGAATTCGACATCAAACGTTTCAGATCTTCGATTTTGAACCCCGTTGTTGCTGGCATAAGCAACAGGATCCGCGTACGAAGTCGCGGGCAGAAGCTAGTATCGTATAAAAACACAGTTGAATTTACACGTATTACGTACGTAATTTAGTGCGCAATATATTATTACCGTAGAGCCAGTTTAGTAGTATCCATAGAAGTATTTTGGTAATATAAATACATAACATACATCAACACTCACGCCTGTCACCCAAAGGGGTAGACAGAGACTACGGACTTCCATTTGGCACAATCCTGACACACGTCACTCGTCGGTTAAGGGTACTCGTAATGTGGCCCATTTTCGATAAATCGCCTATTTGGTAATAAACCTACGTCTAGCGCTCTAGGGCGTCCCTTGCCGACTTACCGACTATGCCGTTCACTAATAGATAGCAATAGGTAGGAATTGGTAGTAATAGGTAGCAATTGGTAATAATAGGTATAAGAAGGTGGTATAACAGTGCGAAGTGCACATACCGATGGCGATGATCACGGCGAGCGCGGCGAAGGTGGAGTGCGCGCGCGCGTTGACGTCGGGGTGGCGCGACTGGTACACCTTCACCATGCTCAGCACCGCCAGCACGTACATGAACGCCGTGTCTGCACACCGCACCATACACCACTTACTACTCACGAACCTCGTAACACTAATCCAAACAAGTGAATTTCCACGCATACAACCTACGAATTTTTCTGCTGCGGGGGAAGTAAATTTGTTAGAAAAGTGTAAAGATTAATGTTTCTTTCTGAATAATAAATTATATAATATATTTAATATATAAGACAGAGGTTTTACCCAACTAGTGGTAAAAGTAAAAAATGACTCAAGAAGAATTATATGTAATCCTAAAAGAATCTAGTAAAGTAAAGTTACAGCGTATATACGTCCCACTGCTGGGCACAGGACTCCCCTCATTTCTGAGAGGGTTTTAGGTTTTAAAATAATCTGTTCTATTTTTTTTTAGAAATGGATATAAAGCAAACTACGTATATTCGTAACAGTAGAAGAATTAAAAAATACTGTGTTTTGTGTAAATAAATACACTAGAAACCGAGTAATATCAAATATAATCAATTTTCAACGATGCTGACACTGTGTGACCATCCGCGTAGGTAACACATAAGTTGTACACTTTAGCACAGAATAAATTAAGACTTTAGTTCCAACTGGCGACATCTGGTGCGCGTAAGTGTATCAGCCCTCTACCGTCAAAATCCAACGAACTACTTCATGTCGTACCAGCATCCCCCGCCCGGGCATCGCCTGCGTAAGATCTATTCATGTGTTATTTAGATCAAACGTAATGAGTTGTTACTAAAAAGATACTGCTATATATATATATATATATATATATATATATATATATATATATATAGAGTATTATATAGCGTATTCTATTTCAGTTACCCTTTGTCGCTTCTTAGGGTCAGTTCACACCGAGACGAGACGCGATGTGAAGCGGCGCGCACTTTTTAAGATATTTATACAAAATATAATTTTATTTAGTACAAAAAAGAAAGACACACATTTTATTGAGATGAAAATGCCCGGTGGCGTGGTGATGCGCCGCGCTGCGCCCGAGATGCCTCGCGGCATAGTGCGAAGCCGCGAGCTACAGCCTGAAGCCGTCGTGGCGACTTGTCTCTACTATTACTATTACTATTACGATGCGTCTCGCGATGATACGTCCGCGAGATGCGTCTAGCGGCGGCACGCTGCGCGATGCGAAACCACTGGTCGCTTCAAACATCGTCGCGTCTCTGTGTGAACTGACCCTTACGAAACCCATGCGACGATATGGGTTACTAGATATTCTGACACTGTTACTACACGGTTGTGTGTAATTGTAATGACCATAGAACATATTAATAGGTAGATGTATCATATGGACGATATTAGTATCCAAATGATTACGACACACTCGTTCATTGACCTTCTATATACGAGTATATCTACGTGGTATAACCATGTTGCAACTATATCATGGTTGAAGCTTAATGTGTTTGGTATGATGAGTGTAAAGAATCGGATACCTAGTTCAATGAAAATGGAGCATTCCATTTTAGTCCTCAGGGGTGACACAGCATTCTGCATTTTGATTCTCAATCGAGGATAAATGTAGATGTCTCAACAGTTCGTCTGTCACCTTTATAAAGTTATATTAACATAACATGCTGCTGATTATAAAAATATACTTTTTTTTTAGAATAGATGCCAAACGAGCACGCAGTTAATCTGATGGTTAATGAATGCTGTGGCTCGTAGACATCTAAATCTATTCTCGATTAAGAATCAAAATGAAGATGCTTTGTCACCTCTGAGGACTAAGATGGAATGCCTAGTTTCCAGTAAACTGGGTCGCCAGTTCTCTACATCAACCATATGAAACACAGCAGCATTATTTTGTTATTTTACGTTGGCATTCCATGAGAGCCTGGTCCTATCCTACCCCGGTCGAGCTGATTAATTTGTGCTACAACTATAACGGCTGCAACATGGCTTTACCACATTCACAACTTGGACTTAGCTTGGACTTTGCGTACCGAATTGGAAGTTAAGTCGATTCGGGCAGACGTGGTAGCTGGCGGACATCAGCGCGACCACCATCATAGCAGCGCCTAGAGCCGACAGCAGCCCGTAGTGCGCCGGGATGCCATAATCCTGCCGATATTATTACCAAACATACTTTTTACATTTAATTTTAAACATACCTTTTATACTTCACACATACTTTTTACCAAAGCTTCAGCAAAGCCAAAAGTAGTAATAGTGTCTTTAACTGGGTCCTGAGTTGATAATACTCTTCTAAAGCCATTTTGGATTTTAAAATACATATATAATTTTTTTAGTATACCCAGCTCAATAGTCTTTTGTTCAAGAAGTTTTCTATGATTTTTGATATACTGCTTTGTTCAGATATGGGTTTATAATTGTTAACATCGTCTCTGTCACGACGCCCATACGTAGTACAAAATAAACGCCGTCGAAATAAACCCGTTTGAAAGCAAATATAAACGTTTGAAGGGGCCGCGGTGGCCGGTAGACATCAAGTCAACAAGTCCGTTTGTCACTATGATTTTATAAATCAAATAATATTACTCGGTTTACCTAAACCTAATGGCGGTTGCGAAATTCAAGTCGCTGCGACTGCATGACTTTGGGTTGCTACTGAGAATGTCTCGTCAGAATAATCCAGGTACTGCTTATAGTATGATGTGTATATCGGTGAGTAATGCTAGGGAAGAGGAGTATCGCACCTGGTGGCGGGGGTGGCGGCGGCGGCGCGCGCGGCGGCGCTGCACCTGCAGCAGGAACAGCGCGCCCAGCAGCAGGTAGCCCGCGTTCGAGAACACGTGGTTGAAGTCGTGCAGCAGCCCGGCCGGGTGCGCGCACAGGAAGTTGTAGTAGCACGTGTCCAGCGACCCCGACACGTTCATCATCTGCACGCAACCCGCAACCCGCAACCGCTCGTCATCACACAAGTAACTAAATGTCGCTTTGTACTCGGTCGTTGAGTTTTATTTTTTATTTTTATAGAATAATGGTGAGATGAGCATCCGGTCCACCCGATGGTAAATAGATGCTGTAGCCCATACACTTCTACATTAATCCTCGAAAATTAATTAATCTTTAAAATGCAGAATCATTGACACCCCCGAGGACTAAGATGTTATTACCTCGTTTTCAATAAAAAGGGTCTTCGGCTCTCCACACTTAACTTAAAAAAAACAACAGTGTTTAGCTGCTATTTTACTCCGGTATTGGAGAGCATGGTTATACCTCGATGGAGCCTATCCCATTAGTACCGCTACCATATTACAGTTGCAGTGTGGCTCTACAACGTATATAACTATATAATAATGCCCTTCAGACAGAATTTCGGCCACGGCGACCTGCCTCAACGGAGACTAGTCATCGGCGCAGGACAGGATTATAGTTCCCAAATGTATGCGCAAGCACAGGTGCACTCTCTATTCCCTCACTCTCATAATCCGATGGGACGGTAACCCGATACGACCGTAGAGAGATCAGGCGCAAGACCAACGGCTTTAGGTGCTTTCCAAGGCATGGGGGTGAGATACCGCCAACTTCCTGACTCTGGGCAGCTACTGAGGATTTCTTGACGGAAAAACTAAATAATTGGTTTTGTTGGCCCGACCCGGGATTCGAACCCAGGACCTCATCAGCAGTCGCACTACTACAACCACTAGACCAACGAGGCAGTCATAATAACTATATAATATACTACTAAACCATGTTGAGAGATGGATGGGAACACTCACGAGTTGTATGACGGCGACGAACTGCACGACGGGCAGAGCGTAGAAGACGGCAACGGTGACCAGCGTGTACAGGTAGCGGTCGGAGCGCGCACGCAAAGTGCGCTCGCGTCGCCTCGCCAACGCCGCCAGCCGTAGCTGCGCCGGCAGGCCGAACGGACCCGCGCGCTGACGACACCAACACCACGCACACGCTCATAATTACATCCACGTCACGCGCTGGCGGACCGAACAGACCCGCGCGCTGACTACACCAGCACCACGCACTCACTCATCATTACATCCACGAGACGCGCCGGCAGACCGTACGGACCCGCGCACTGACTACACCAGCACCACGCACTCACTCATCATTACATTCACGACAGGCGCCGGCAGACCGTACGGACCCGCGCGCTGACTACACCAGCACCACGCACTCACTCATCATTACATCCACGAGACGCGCCGGCAGACCGAACGGATCCGCGCGTTGACGACACCAGCACCACGCACTCACTCATCATTACATCCACGAGACGCGCCGGTAGACCGAACGGACCCGCGCTCTGACTACACCAGCACCACGCACTCACTCATCATTACATCCACGAGACACGCCGGCAGACCGAACGGACCCGCGCGCTGACGACATCAGCACCACGTATTCACTCATCATTACATCCAGGAGACGCGCCGGCAGACCCAACGGACCCGCGCGCTGACGACACCAGCACCACGCACTCACTCGTCATTACACCCACGAGACGCGCCGGCAGACCGAACGGATCCGCGCGCTGTCGACACCAGCACCACGCACTCACTCATCTTTACATCCACGAGACGCGCCGGCAGACCGAACGGACCCGCGCGCTGATGACACCAGCACCACGCACTCACTTATCTTTACATCCACGAGACGCGCCGGCAGACCGAACGGACCCGCGCGCTGACTACACCAGCACCACGCACTCGCTTATCTTTACCACCACGAGACGCGCCGGCAGACCAAACGGACCCGCGCGCTGACTACACCAGCACCACGCACTCACTCATCATTACATCCACGATATGCGTCGGCAGACCGAACGGACCCGCGCGCTGACTACACCAACACCACGCACTCACTCATCATTACATCCATAAGACGCGCCGGCAGACACCAGCACCACGCACTCACTCATCATTACAATAAAATATAAAGTTTAATGTTTCTTTCTGTAATATTCTAATTAAAAATAGAAAAACCAAAGCACGAACTACGAATATTCCTAAAAGTAAAAGTATGATAGAGGAAAGTTAGAAATGTGCAAAAAATTAAGGAACAACCACTAAGACATTGTTTTATGTATACACTAAAAACTAAAAATCTTTTATTTATTTATTTTTTACAGGCGAAACGAGCACACGGCTCACCTGATGGTAAGTGGCTACTGCCGCCAATGAACAGCCGCAACACCAGGGGAATTGTAGATGCGTTGCCGGCCTTTTAGAAAGCAGTAAGCTCTTTTCTAGAAGGTCCCTAAGTCGTATCGGGCCGGAAAAGTCACCGGTGGTAAACCATTCCACAGAGAAGTTGTACGACGAAGAAAACTCCTAGTAAAATGTACAGTAGTGGGCCGCCAAGCATCCAGATGGTGAGGATGGTATCGGGAATTTTGACGCGATATGCGTTCGTTAAGTTTGGCAGCTGGAACTAATCCGAACAATTCTTCAGAACACCCCCAATGGTAGATACGATATAAAACGCAAAGGGATGCAACATCCCTATGCAGCGCCAGTAAATCGAGACGATCAGAAAGCACTCGGTCGTCGATGATTCGAGCCGCTCTGCGCTGGATGCGGTCAAGTGGAAGGAGCTGGTACTGAGGAGCCCCAGCCCAGAGATGTGAACAGTATTCCATGTGCGGCCGAACATGCGCCTTGTAAAGTTGCAGGCGGTGTGCCGGCATGAAATACTGTCCCGCTCTGCTGAGCACGCCAAGCTTTTTAGAGGCCAATTTGGCCTTTGCTTCCAAGTGACCACGAAACTGAAGGTCACTCGATATGTCTACGCCGAGGATTCCGATACTGGCTGAGGCAACAAGGGGAGTGCCTTGCAACTGAGGAGATACGATAAAGGGGTTCTTTTTAGCGGTTAACGCGGTAACTTGTGTCTTCTGGGGGTTAAACTGGACTAGATTTAGTTGCTCCCAATCGGAGACTTTATTAAGCAAAGACTCGACTTCAGGCACAAGTTTGTCCCCGTACTCGGCGACGATTTCCCGAGAAGTATTGGCACGGCCGGTGTATAAGGCATCACCAGTGCTGTCGTCTACATAGCACTGAATGTTATCAGTTTGCAAAATATCATTGATATGCAGAAGAAACAGCGCTGGTGATAGCACGCGGCCTAGTGGAGCACCAGCGTTAATAGGCTTGTAATCAGGCACACATTTTCACTTATGGTGACACGGTGTAACAAATAACTTCACTTATTCCCCACTAGCGACACCTGGTGATCGGGAAATTGTTAGCCCTCGTTGACCACATGACCACATGTATCTAAAACTCCAGATCACAATTTATATATCATATATGATTTCAGTAAAGGAAGTATATAGGACTATAATATGTGAAAAACAAATTCAAAATTAATACGATTATATTACTTGGTTCAGGGTTCAGGTATAAAATCCCCTACATTTATATTATTAAAAACTTCTGTCTTTCATTTATCCATCACATTTGTAACTAAAACTCGAATGTATGTAATGGGGAAAAAAGGTTGACAATTGGTAACCTCATACCGCTAAGATCAGCGTAGGGCAGTCTCTCACTACATGAAGTGACGACCAGATAAGAGATGCAGGAAGTTGACGAATGCAGGTGGCGGTGGCTCAGGTTTAAGTTTAGGAACGTGTTTTGTAGCGCTCCTTGAGGAAAATCTTTGTTCAGCAGTAGACTTGTGATGGGCTGCAATGGTGATGTGAGTGTATGCTGATTTAGCAGTATGTTATATTATTTGTAAGGAAACTATGTGTATTACGATTAAATAAATGAAAGTGACGTAAGACACAAGTATCTAAAATAGGATACAGTATTATTAAATCTCTTCTTTTAGCCTCACCTGTTCGTCGGGGGGCGCGGTGTCTCCATTGGCGTGCGGCGATGGTGCAGGCGAGGCGGAGGGATCGGGGGCGCCGAGGGCAGCGGGTATGGTGGGAGCGGCATGGGAGACAGGGGAGATGGGGGAGGCGGGGGCAGGGTCCAACTCCTCCTCGGAAGAGCTACCGTCGCTGCTGTCGAAAGTGACGTCTGAAATGTTGCACTATCACTTTTATACTTTTTTTTAAAGAAACCACTACCTTTACATACGTGGTAGAGCCATTTTGCATCTATATCATGGTTTAAGCACGAATGGGTCAGCTCGACCAGCTAAGGGCCATGATCTCACAGAATACTAGCGTGAAATAGCAGCTCAATGTTGCTGTGTATTCTTATGGTGAGTGTAGAGAATCGGAGACTTTTTATTGAAAACGAGACACTCCATCTTAGTCCTCAGTGGTAACATCGCACATGCATTTCAATTTTTAACCAAGAATAGATTACCATATCTATCCTATCTATGGGCCGCAGCATTCACTTATCATTAGATGGATTGTATGCTCGCATTCCACCTTTATTCTATAAAAAAAAACCCTGATGGTAAGTGGATTCTGTGACCCAAACAAAACATATCGACATTTTTATCATCGATTAAGAAGAAAAATACGTTGTCAAATTGGAAGATTGAGATTAAATACCTTGCTTTAAAATTACGCAGCAGCATTGTGCCGCTACTTTACGTCGGTGGCTGTAAAAACGTGGTTCTTCCCCGGGCGAGCTAACTCATTCATACTGCCCTCATAATTTTGTTATTGCTAATTTATAAGATAGGTAGATATCAATTTATTAAATTCATTAGAAAAAAAGTTAGATTGAATTTTATAGAGTCGGTTACTTTACTTGAGACTCGACGTCGATGAGTCGGCGTGCTAGTGGCTGGATCTCCGTTATTTTGAGTTGGTACAGCTTCTTCTATAACTGTAAATAAAATATAATACAAAATTAATAGACATATTATACGTAGTGATGGCTTAACAAAATCCACTAACAAAAGGCAATGAAATGGAATGGCATGGGCAGCGGTTTCCTGCTGAAATACCTAACAACTGAAAATAATAAACAACGGCGGCTGCCAACCCGCCCGCCAAGCTTGGCAGCTATGGCTAATGTCCTCTTTGTAGAACAAGCTATGAGGGAGACCTGTGATGAGCAGTGAACTTTGACAAACTGTCATTAAAAACGACAATTAAATTAACATAAGGGATAATAACAGCCTAAATACTTCCCCCACTGCTAAGAGTAGGCTTCCCCCTTAAAAGACATACAAATTCCTGTACGGTCCAACCGTACATTTCTGCTGGCGTTAACATTTTACGTGAAGCAATCGCTATAGTTCGACAATTATAAAAATTAAGTTAGTTCACGTAATCACCGTAACCGCGACGGACGCAAGCTCGTTAACATAACATTAACATTTTTTAACATATTTTAATCTTATATTTTTTAACCTCTTTATTAAACTGTTTTTATATAAAGCTTAAATTTATATTAAAAATATGTCCATTACCCGAACATTTTTTGGTCCTTCGAGCGAAAAATAAACATTTTTTGGTCCTTCGACAATTGCATTGGACCCTCGTGTGTTTCAAAGACTCAAACATAACAGTGGTCATCTTGCTCAACATCCACAACATTTGGCTTGGCCAAGCAGCAGCTTGTCTAGGTCAAGAAGCAACGAGTCGACAAGTTGGTCAGCCGGGCTTGCCTTTTAAAACTGAATCAATTAATAATATCAACTAATAAAATACTGTTTAAAAAAACTGTTTCAAATTATTTCAATTTTCCCGCACACTCCACTGTTCGACACATGTCGACCGATGACCTCGTATTACCTTAGCGATACGTTTATACAAAGGTACTCTGTGGCGATACTGCTGCTGTCATAAAGTGAGTTTTAATAGAGCGATTAGTTGTCTCCCTCGCTCGCGTGGGCTTTTTACGGGGCTTTCGAGAAGACGATCGCTCTCTTTCTAACCTATGGCAAAATATTCTATAATGAAATATAACTACGAAATGTTTATATAGCAATTACTATTGAGCCAAAAAGCCTGGATTTGCCATGAAGTTGTTTAGAAGTGCGTTAGCGACTAGCGAAGTGGTTGCGGGCCCCTCGTATGCAAGTTCACTTCACATTTCAATGTTTATGTTTGTTTTTGTTGTGTTTGTTAAAAATTTATGCTTTTTCGAAGATTTTCAGTGAAAATAGGAGGAAAATAGTGTTCATTGTGATGAGTATAAGTGTGTTGAAGTGCTAACCGGCGAAGAAAAGGTAAAAATCTTTAAAAATGAAATTAATATTCAATAAACATTGCTTCATACTTTAAATATAGGTACAGGACTCTTTAGTATTAAAGTTTAATTAAGTTAGGCGTATTTAAAGGTTTAATAACTCAATGTTAATATTACCATACGAATTAAAAATATCAATTTGAACAGCAGCATAAAGTATGAGACCTAGGTTTAATTTTAGAGGAAATAAGTGTTACAACCTTTTTTTAACGTGAAGCCCAAATTTTAATTAAATAAATAAAAAAGAATACAGAAGAATGTATTGAGGTTTTTAAAGAATAGTCCCTTTAGTTATTTCCAGTGAGGTTTCTCTGTCTACTTTTCAGTATATAAAATTTTAATGGAGCCATCTACTTAATTCTATAGGTAAAGTCATTTTATCGAACGAAAATTGGTTGATTCTCACGATGGTACCTAAAGATTTCGCTGGATGGCACAAATACGCTATCGGCTAATTTATAGTGATATATGAGTTTAAAAATATCATTTTGTACGGTTTATTATGAATTGAAAATGAATAATTATAATTATATAATAAATAGTCATTATTTTATGGTAAAAAATTAGCAAAGCTTTATGTGCACTAAGCATTATACCAATCTAATTCCTGTCGTAATCTGTTCTTTTATGCATATAACTTAAACAAAATATAATTTCGAGGTTTCACATCTGTCAGGCGTCCCTTTTTTAACTTTGTACATAGCTTGTTTGTACTTTGTTCATGTATTGTATTGTTTGTAAATATCTCAAGCAAACCCAAACGGCTCTTTTCAAAACCACCGAAGGTGTGCAATTGCATATTATGTCATACTATCTATCTAGCGGTAGTATGCTTTCTGTGTGCTTTGTTAAACACGTCCTTGTCAACACTGAATATGAAACTAAAGAGTGGAGACAGCTCAAGATTGGTGTATTTTTATTAAACTGCTAAAAACAACAAAAGCACATATTGGGCTTGCCCTAGTTTGGAGCCCTAGCTTCGCCACTGAGCATCAGCAGTAATCAGCAGTGCCAAAGTAAGATCTTTCCTTTTTTTAACAGTTCTGTATTTAATAGCAACATGGAAAACGTACACGCTAATCAGGTCGAGATTGTAGGAGCTATTCGTAAAATTGGTGTCAATATTAAAAAAGATGGGTCACAGCGTAAAACAATAGATTATTTTAAAAGAAAACTTGAGGTTTTGGAATCGTACTGGCAAGATTACCAGAAAAATCACAGTCAACTAGTAAAAAGTGAGAATCGTACACATCCCTACTTTACAAACTCCGAGTACGAAATTGCAAGAGAGCAATATAACTCGGTAAAAGAAATCATAAATTTGCAGTATCAGGATTTTCTGGCTAGCCAGAAGTATTATCCAGCCCCTGAAGGTAAAACAGCTCAACAAGTGGAACAGCGTGGATTAGGTGAACTGTCTTCTGGAAAATCGGTGGAGCCACAAGAGGCTCTCCGCCCACAGGTACATCGAGGAGCGACCAGTAGGTTAGATGACATGTTGCGCAAACAATATATTAATTTTAAGGCATTTTCAAAGTAAGGTCTGTTATTTGCATAAACATAAATAACATTACGGAAAAATGGGAATTCGAAGATTCTTTAAAAACATTCGAGTCGCGATGGTCGGCTATAGGTTCTCTGCATTGGGAAATTGATCATGATCTCAATGGGGATGACGAAGAATATACTGCTACTTTTAGTATATACGAACAGGAGTAGGCATATCGATTTGAACAGAAAACTCAATTCCAAAATGTGGTCTGTCAATCACCGAGAAAGCTGTACACCTAGAATGGATATCCCTCCGTTTAACATTATAACCAATGGATACCATTCAAAGATCTTTTCACGGAAAGCGTTCACAACAATCCGTCGCTTTCAAACGCTCAAAAAATGCAATTTTTAAAGAGTAAACTCCAAGGGGATGCAGAGCGTTTAATACAGCATTTGAATGTTAGTTCAGAAAATTATGTAACCTGTTGGGAAATTCTAAATCATAGGTTTGACAACAAGAGACGAATTTTCGTATCTCACATTAGCCTATTGCTTGGTTTCCCTAATATTCAGCAGCAAGCGGTAAATCAAAAAAAAATTACATGATACATCTTTAGAATGCCTAAACGATATCAAAAACTTAGGCGTAGATATTAGCATATGGGATCCGCTGCTAGTACACATACTGTCGCAAAAATTAGACATGGAAACATATACAGGATATATAGAATCGCAAAAGAGGCCCAGAGATCTACCTGTGCTACAGGAGTTTCTGGACTACTTAGAAAGCAAATTTACAGCATTTGAATTATGTCGGTGAAAACAGGATAATACATCAAAATTAAACGGTCAGTCTCAACATAACTTCAATTCAACATCGAGTAAGAATTACAAAAAGCAATTCAATTTTAATCAAAATGCGACAAATAAACCGACTGCAAAATCATATAACATTACTGGAATAAAATGTCCTCTTTGTAATGATGATCTTGGCATTTACAATTGCAAAATTTTTTTAAATATGTCAAATGGAATGAAATTGAAAACCACCAAAAAATTGAAACTTTGCATAAATTGTTTATTTAACCATAACGGAAATCCACGTATTTCAACACAACGGTGCCGCAAATGCTTGCAGAAACATAATACTCTGTTACATGACGCGTGCACTAAGTCCATATCTGGTGCACAGGTTGCGAAAACATCTAACGAGTCCGTGACAAACACTTAGCACGTATCACAAAATAATTTAGGGGGAGAAATTTTGCTATTGACAGCTTTGGTGAAAGTTATGGCGTTGGATGGAACCTATCAAATCAAAAGAGAACTGAAAATGCCGCACAAATCTTAGGCCTGAAAAGACAGCACTGCAAGGGAGTTGGCGTCGGGGAAAAGGAAAACATGTTATATGGCATGTTAAATATTACGTGTACATCCATGTTTAATGACTATTCTTTCAACACTAATGTTTATATAATGAATAACCTAATTAAACATTTGCCAAACCAATCGTTCGCAAAGCCTTCATGGTCATTTATAGAAAACATAAACTTGGCTGATCCTGAGTTTTATAACAGTCGTACCGTGAACTTACACTTCGGTGCTGATATTTATTCTATGATCATGTTAGGTGGCATTTCAAAGGGAGATTCATCTTCATTCATTCATGCACAACAAACGCAGCTAGGGTGGTTGTTGTGTGGTGGTGTTAAAACATTTCAATGTAATGTTGTCACAAACGACATTGAAAACATTCAGAAATTTTGGGAAATAGAACAAATAACAGAACATTCAGAGTTATCCCTAGAAGAACAGCATTGTATACAATACTATACATCAACTACTAAACGTCATGAAAATGGTCGTTACGAGGTCCGTTTACCCTTAAACTAGAAATCAAAACAAAATTGGGATCAACGAAATCAATGGCAATTGCACAGTTTCGGAATTTAGAAAGAAAATTTGTAAAACATGATAATTTCGCAGAAAAATATAAATTCTTTATTAAAGAATGTGAACAATTGAATCATATGAGACAATCGGACGGTCATACGATGCCAGAGTGTTATCTACCCCTCCACGGTGTAGCGCGTGCCGAGTCAATGACCACAAGCCTCCGTGTCTTTTTTAACGCA